ACTTTCAAATTAAACTCAAATTTTGGCATTATACGACCAACAAGTTTGACTTTTAGGCATACAGACACAAACATATGAAACTGTTTTATTGATATTGTTATGAAACGAATTTATCTATTTAACATTGTAGCCTGAAATTACAGAAAGAAAATAGGATTTCCGGTTTGCAAAAAGGAAAATTTCGCCGGCCTTCAAGCGCACCGGAAGCGCAGAAAGAGCGCTCGTGCCAGTCCTACTTCGCATCAAACATTAAATGAAGAGTGGAGCGCTCGTTTCACCGCCCAACATTTATCCGCCCTGGTCAGGAGATTTCAAGTGGCCCCTCCGTGGTACAAAACATACCGTGTGGGAGAGAGGGACCCGAGGGGGCTGCATTTGTTCATGGAAAATTACTGCAACAGAAAGGCGTGAAAAACAGAGAACTGTGACAGACTGGTATCCAACGTTAATCAGTCTAACAGGTGAGGATTAAATCCATAATGACCTTGCTAGTAGTTGATATAGGAGTAGGCTCACTTTATATTTGTTCACACTAGAGAAAAGCAATGCAGCGAATTCAACATTTCTTAGACTACGAGCAGTCTCTCGTTTTCTCTAAGTCCGTTGAGCGAAACGCTCGAGACACAAAAATGACCACGCAAATGCCTGAAGGCGCTAGACGGAAGAGGCGCTTTTCTCTTCTCGGGCTGTCGCCCTCGTTTTTTGCGTCTCGCAGCTTCACCGCTCGACGCTCGCCCGCGGGCACTCCTCTCACAAAATTCTGAAGGAAAATTAAAGAGAGACTTCTCGCCGTCTAATCGTTTCTTCTTCCACACAAATCTTTACAATTTCATCCTTGTGTGAGCCATCTCTTACCACGTTTCTCCATGTATGGGAGCAAACGATTCCGGAGAAAATAGTGGCCAACAACCCGGCCGTTAAGGGGTAATCAACTCATCACGATTTCCCCCAGACATTTACTTTAAATATAAATGCCTAATCTCACTGGGTTTACTGAGGTTTGGTGCATTATAGAGTTAAGGTAATACTTTGCTCGTTATCGTGTTAATTTATTGTAAGCAAGCATCTATTAGTTACGACCTTTTTTGCTGTTAGGAGGCAGTTTTGACCGAAAATATCCAAAGCTAAATTGACGGTTATACAGTATAGGAAACATTCTCGTCTGGAAACCATCGCCGCGAGACGAAGTAATTATTAATATAGACACTAGCCAAGGAGCTGCGCTACGCGTGGGTCAAATGAAGTTATTGCTCGACGTCCCCAACGTCACGTGGTTTAAGCCTCCTGAGTTGGATGCGAAGCTATACCAGCCAAATAATGGTGTCCAGTCAAGTAAAGAAGATTTCAGTAGGAACTTATTTTTGGTAAGTTATTTTTCCCTCACCCTTTTTTATCTGAATTATTCAGGAGATCATCAATCTTGAAACCATAGTGTGATCCAATGTAAAATATGTTAAAAACAATATATAGGTAAAACTAAACGCACACTTCTTGAACGCTTTAAAGAACATAGACGGGCAACAAACAATCCACTCCACGCAAATGCCACAACTGAACTTATTCCACTGGAATTACAACCCACCCTCAGCATGTCACGCAGTAAGGCAAGAGAAGCGTACCTCATAGATAGAGGCAAAACCCTGACACCAGGCGGTCTGAGCCGAAGGAATGAACATTGCTTGACTGTTTCTATTTCTATTTTTGATTGTATAATCTTTTCTTCTGTATATTATTCTACCTAGTATTAATAATTCTAGTTAATTATTAACCACTTATGTGAATTTTAAATTCGAATTTTAGGAGCCGTTAAAATATATTTTCTCTCGGTATGGTTCTGGCCATGAGGAAGGCTAATTTTGTTAGCCGAAATATTAGCCTATAATAAATCAGCCGTTTGCCGCAGTGCCAGCCCTGCATTCAGTTTTGTTTTATTTCACACTTTAAGCGACGTCCGGCTACAGCATCTCTTTTTTTAGAGATCCGGCAAGAGGAACTAGTCAGTTATATTTACGCGTTGCGTGAACCTCTGCATTCAAACCATTTTTTCATAATTTTTAACTTACCCCTCTCTTTTTTTATGTTTTATTTTCCTCCCCTCCATAATTTTCTTATTTTCCCTCCTCATTCTTAAATTCCCTCCTTCTCTACAATTCCAAATTTTTCCCACCTCCTCTTCTTCTTGAATTCCTTCCTCCACAATTTTTATTATTTTCCCTCTTCAATCTTGATTTCCCTCCTCCTCCTCCGCCTCCTCATTTGTTCTATATATTTTCCATCCACAAGTAAGTCGACCCCATATCGACCCCACATCGACCCTAAACTCAACGTTTTTTCAACACAGCTTTGTGAATAGTGAAACTATATACAACCACCACCGCCACATTTCTATTGCTTTCTCTCCACCGTCATCATCACCACCACCACCACCACCACATTTCTATCGTTTTCTCTCCACCACCACATCATTTCTATTGGTTTCACTCCTCCTTTTTTTTTCTAGTAGGCAGGTTATTTGGTTTTGGCTTTTTTGGCCTGAGTTTGGCCTTTTTGGCCTGGGTCTGGCCTGGCTGACCTTCTATATAACCTGTCTGCTGGAAAAATAAAAGAAGGAGTGAAAGCAATAGAAATGTGGTGGTGGTGGTGGCGGTGAGGGTGGAGAGAAAACAGTAGAAATGTGGATGTGGTGGAGGGAAAACAATAGAAATGTGGTGGTGGTGGTGGTTTTATATAGTTTAACTATTCACGAAGCTGTGTTGAAAAAAGGGTGAGTCTAGGGTCGATGTGGGGTCGATATGGGGCCGATCTATTTGTGGATGGAAAAATATATAGAATAAGTGAGGAGGTGGAGGAGACGGAGGGAAAATAATAAAATTGTGGAGGAGGAGGGAAAATATTAAAGTTGTGGAAGAGGGAATAAAAAAATTGAGGAGGGGAAATAATAAAATTGTGGAGGAGGAGGAAAATAGAAATGAAAAGGGAGAGGGGTAAGAAAAAATTATGCATTGTGTAAAAAAAGATAGCTTGCCTTAACTTTGACTATTCTAATAGATTTCTTTTCAATCACTGAGTATTTCATCTTTTCTACTTTTTGCAATTATTTTAATAAAGGGTCATAAAGTTGATTTCTTGTGTCTTAAGAAACGTGTCTGATTTTATTACGAGTGTTTATCGTGTTTTAATTGATCCTTCTTAAGTTATTAATTTAAAATTAAAATTAAATTAATTATTAATAATGGTTTTTACTGTGGAGCTGAAACAATTTGTACGCAAACGAGGGCTTGTTAACTCGCATAATTAACTAACTAACGGCGCGTGACACTACAAGACTTCAATAGTTTTTCACATCCTCGAGAAACAACGGAGGAAAACGGTTTTGTAATAGTCAGTCAAAATTGAAATAAAGAGTGTTTAGCTCCACTTTCTGTATGTGTGTATGTTTTGTTTATATATACCATTTTCAGCGCTAAATAGAAGACATTATCAGCCGTTTCTCGCCCTGCTAGGAGATCGCTCCTCTTATTCCTTTTTTATATACAGCTATTTCGAGAAAGGTTGTCCGAAAAAGTGCACGCGACAATCCCAAAAGCTATTGTGGGTGGTTTTGAGTTCACTTTTTTTCACAGAAATTTGAAAGAATGGCAATTGAGGCCATGGACATATGTTTGCGAGTGCTAAAGGAAAGCACTGACAGATAAATTCGACAGCTGCAATCGTCAGGAACAGTGTATTGATCATATCCCATGTTACCTTTCGGGTTTGTCGCGTGCACATTTTTTCCGACAACCTTTCTCGAAATAGCTGTATATAGACGTTCCGGCAAACTGGACTAAAGTTACTCACCGGGCAAGTCTAGGCAAGCCTATTGTTCCTATTGTTTAAGAGTGACATATGGAGGGAGGCACTTATTAGTATGGAGGAACGCATTTTTACCCAGCTAGCTAGACACTGACAAGGCACATAATTAATAGGCTGGAAGGCACTAAATTAGTATGCAGGAAGACACTTATGCATATTAATAAAAGGGAATCCACTTTTTGCGAGGAAATCGAAAGGGAATCCATAAATCCGGTTAAGTTCATCCCTCTACCACTACTATTAATTTTTCATTTTGTCCAACTCTTCTCAGTTCCGATAACATGACAGGAATCAGAGTAAAAAAGAAATAGCGAGCTACAGAAGCAATTTTTTGTTGTGGGGAAATTAATCTTTTCAACGGCGGACAGTGGACTAGGGTGAAATGCCGGGCAACTACTTACTTTACATTGAGGCTAGTCACAGGTGATGCAGGTTCAGTATTTGTATCGCAAACTGCAAACTACAATGTTTGCATGAGTTGTACTTCCGATCCAAAACATACCCTGTAGTGAGATGTTCATATCTTTGATGATCAATCGGAGTTCATCCAGGAAATCGTCGGGCTCAAATTCTCCGACCGCGCATACAATTAGCTGTCGTTAGCTGTCACAAGAGTAAGAACAAAATATTCGCTCACTAAACGTATGAGAATTTCCTCAGTCAAACTTCGAAAACAACCAAAGTTAATTCGCTGTTTTCAGTCTCCTGAAGAGAATAACTGAGGTTTGATTAGTTTCAGGTCAGGTACAAACCTCTCTATTATCAAACCTTAAGAAGAATTATTTTGAATGAGAAATAATTAAATAAGCTCAAAACGCAAACGCTTCTGTTTAGTTATACATTTTAATAAATGCCTTAATCATATGTTAATAGATCGTGCTGAAATCCCGGACTTGTGAGTTATAGTTTTTAACAATCTGGAGTACTGCTGTCTAAAACTATTAAAAAAATTATCAACAGACTACCCAACCACGTAGGAGTCGAAATCACTCACTCCCTTCATACATTTATTTTCTTTGTCGCCTCCCACTTTGGACTTTTACTTTATTAAAAGCTTAAAGCTCCTTATCTGTGTTTACTTTCTGTAGTATTAGAACTTTTTATAACTCATGAATCTCATGAGTCACTTTAATCTAAAGTCCCTTTTAAGCTTGAGCTTTAGGAACTTCTTCAACAAATATACGGGACACTGAGATGTATCCTGTGTAGCCATCAGCATTTCCATGTGAGGCGCAGTTGCCGATCCAGAATCCCACACGCACCTTTCCTTTGTGGATGTTATTACAGTGTCCCTCAATATGGCGGACGCGATGGAGATTTTTATTACCGCCTGACTCCATGTAGACAATTCCGTCAATCGGCAGAGGAGCAGAACACTCCGCGCCATTAAAAGTAAAGTACCAACGTTTGCAGCAGGCATTGCAGCCGGAAATTCTCAAGGCACCCGTCCAGTAAACATGATGGGCAGTATCAGAAAAGTTTTTGGTGAAAACACAGTCCTGCAAAAAAATTGACAGAAAATCTGTTAACCAAGAGGCTCGGCAACACGTTGTTCCGTGTTTCATGACATCCAAACCCTAGATCTAGCTTAGATCTAATAGCAACTGCCTAGTAGTTGTGGTCGTTGTGGATAGACAAATAAAACAGTTGATAAATGAAGAGACAAGGCTGACTCCACAGCTGGGAGGTTGAATTTATCCTTTTATGGAAAAAGGGACTAATGTAATCCAATAGCGCTGTAGTCAGGCTTACTTTATGATTTCTTAATTTGCTATACAAGATTTTGCTGCCTAGGCATAGATCCACCATGATCAAGCACCCTTAGGTTTAAAATTGGCCCCGTCAACGCAGCTCGTAGAAACGGTGACCCCGTCAATGGCTTGTCCTCCTCTCCAACACTCCAAACCCTTCATGCAGCGTTAGAGACCGTTTTCAGCTAGATCTTTGACATTCCAGATGTCACGCTTATTGGTTGCTGGAAATCTTATGTGCCGACCAATTCGAAACCTTAACATTCCCCGGCAAACCCCGGGAATTTGACCATCACTTGTGCCTGGGGGTGGTGAATTTGAACCGCAAGCCTCAAGTGAAATTCTTTTTAAGATCCGGTGTCTGACAACGTAGTTCGGTAGATGCGATCTTTGTCATAATTAGATGGAAGACTTTAAAGTTTACGACACATCTTTTGTAAACGAATGGCTTGTTCGACAAGGACTTCAAAAGCGACATGTATCCAGTTTTGTTACCATGACCCCAATTTCCCTCCCTTTTTTAATACAAAGTATATTATCACTGGGAGATATAAGTCCGACTTACTTTAAGACGTCCGAAACATTTACTTTTCATTAATTCACACACCATATAATTTGCAAAACATTTCCTCTTCGGGAGAGGCATTTGACCACTACCTTGGGGTAATTTGTAAGGAGAATTTCTCTCTCCTCCGCAAAGGCCTCTTTCTATCGTAGGGAAGCTGGGGAGAGAGAAAAAGGAAGCGCGCGTGGGACAATGGGATACCCAGCAGGAATCTCTGCTGAAGAGAAAAGATGAATCTGACCAGGCATGCCTTAAAAACTTCACGTGACAAGGGGGTTGCTTTGGGATGTTAAAGTTTCGAATTGATCGGCGCATTTATACTTGGAGATTACTCGTCTCCATAAAACACTCTTCTCTCAAAAGTCAGCTCTACTTCGTTGTGTAACAAGCGCATTCAAAATTTCCTCATTCTGTTATATAAGAGTTTGTTTTTCACTCATTTTCTTACTTATATGAAGAATATGTTTTCACTCCGGTCCTCTTCCTATGATCTTCATGGTAACTACATTCTTTCACTAAGTAAACCTAAAACAACTACCTATGGTCTTAACTCCTTTTCTTACTTTTCAGCTAAGCAGTGGAATGCACTGCAGGCCGTTTTTCGTACCAGTTTTTTTGCAGACTTTAAGACCAAAATACAGGATGTTACCTTCATGTAGACTCTTTTTGCCCGACATACTTAAACTTAAAATTGTGAATTGTAAATAATATGTTCTTTTTTTATGTGCTTATTATTATTAATATTATTTTATTATTATTTCTTATAATGCATTTAATGTATATATATATATAACAATTATTCACCGAAGTGGAGGTGGCTAGTATTGGATATTTACAGAGGCCGCGAAGCGGCGAGGTAAATATCCAATACTAGCCACCGACACTGAGGTGAATAATTGTTTTACTATATACTAAAACAGTGAGATAATTTAGCACAAAAATGATGATTTTTGACTCATTTACTGTTGCCAACGATTACAATTTTGGCGCGCGATGACCGAACGGCCGAGGTCGTCGCTTTTTCTTAGCGACAAATAAAACTTTTGAAGGCGTTTGTTTAGCTCTTGCGGGAAAGTTTCTTCAAAAGGAGTTTTATCGATAAATTCAAGTAAAAAAGACAAAGCTTTACCTGTTAAAACTTCCAAACCGAACTTCGTCACCTTCTTCATGTATTTCGGAAATAGCTTGCTTGATTAGTTGTGAAATTTGTTAGTTTGTTACGGCAGCAAACGGGAAGGCATTTTGCTCGCAACCTACGCGAGTTTGGCAACGCTCGCTCGCTCGGAAGAACTGGAGGTGAATCAGTGAGCGCGCGAAAAACACTATCCACTGTTTTAGTATATACTAAATATATATATTTCTATATTATTTTGATGTAGTGTCAGCTCGAAGATATTGGCTTGTTAGCTACTCTAAAATTCGAGTATAAATAAAGTTTTATCTTATGTTATGTAAGTCTTCAGAGTTAACTAGGAGATGAAACGTCCTTGTTAATAGCAGAGACTAGGCTGAGAGTCTTACTATGAGATACAGGCCAGAGAAACCGTTTCACGTTAACCCTACATTTTTTGTAGAACCAAAGCAAGAAATCATTTCCAAGAAGGTCACGAGATTTGTTCAGAGCTGTTCAGTAATCACACCCACAAGCACGCTTCTGTTATGCCGAAGCCCCAAAGCTTTACCCGAAACACTGAAGAAAATCGTAACATTCTTAAAAACTTTACAAGCGTAGTTTTTCGCTAAATTGAAGTTTGCAAAAAAAAACTTGGCCTCACCCAGTCTTGAACTTGTTGATATCACAGCCCTAAAGTTACTTGCAATATAGCCTGTTCCAGGCGTTTAGATGGTGGGGACTGCCGCGCGAGAGAAGTGAGCAGGAACAACAGCGGGGGAGTGGGGTAGGGGGTGAGAGAGAAGGAGAGAATCCCTCTCTTCCTGCATATCTTTCTCGCTTTCTTACATCGCGCCGCACTCCACTATCTGAACGCCTGGACTGAACAGGCTATTTACTGTATGAATAATAGCACAATTAACTACACAGAAAGAGACTAAATGCTCCTTGACCAGACACTAGCTTTTAACGTGTAAGCCCAAGTACCTCTTTGTTTGCAGAGCCAGTCCGCCGCAGTTGCTGAACAGCTATATACGGTAGAACTAATAAGTAACCCTCTACGGACAATGAACAGGAGGCCACTTAGTAAAGTGTCCGAAGTGATTTACTGACAATTTTGGCTAGGCTAAGTATAAAATCTGCTTGAACGTTAAATAGTTTATTCTGCCTTTCGGCAGTGCTCGCAAAAATTGCTTCACTTTGCTAATTCTGCTCAGACACCTAACTTCTGATTGTCGCCATAGTTTCAGCAATTACATCTTATTTTAAGGTGAGGAGTAGTTAATCCTACACCCAACCCCAAGGGGAGGGGGAGGGGGGCAACAAACTGGAGAAAAACAACCGTGCAGACCGAAATACGACCTGAAGAAGAACCTTAAATAAGGAATTGGTAGAGGCGAGCAATTAGGCCCGGACAGCGTTGGATCTTTGCAGTCTTATGCCCCACATAAGTAAGTAGCGAAATTGTACTGGATTCCGGGAAAAAAATTTCAGGCCTTCGGGCATTTTGAATTTTAAAAATATGGCAGAAAACAAGGACATACATAGCTCTCATTGAGGCATGGCGAAATTGTATCTCATTGCATAGCATGGGCGACAGGCGTTCGTAAGAGAAGGGGAAGGGAAATTCGGCGCGAGACTGGGTGCGAGGGATTGACTTTCGCGCTTGTCGCGCGCCCGGAATCCCGCTCCCCTCCCTTTCAAACATCTGCCACGCAGGATATTCATCGCCGGAGTTTGCTAGAATTAGTTGAAACGGTATTTTCTTATTCTTTCTTATTTTCTTAATTTTGCAATTACTATGAAAGTTTTTTTTTTTCAAGTTTTGATAATAACCAGCCATTGACAGTGCTGGAAAGAGTACCTTATGCGCTCGAAATTCTGCTGACAGAATTTATACAAACCTACGTGTGTAACTAGGCCCCAATGAAGAGGATGTCCTTTTACGAGGGAGCATGCCAGAAGCCAATAGCTGTTTGTTGGTGTTTGCAATAGGCAAGCAAAAGGCCTTTTGAAAAATGGCTACTGCATGCTCTATGTTGTGTGTAAATTTGATAATTGTATGCCGATCTTACTTAGTAATTACTATTTTCATTTTCACGGTTTTTTTTTCCTCAGGTTTTGATAATTACCAATAGTGAATACCAATGACAATGCTGAAAAAAGTCCTGCCTTATGCCCTCGAAATTCTGCTGACAGAATTCATACAAGCCTACATGTGTAACTAGGCCGCTATATAGAGGAAGTCGTTTTATAATAGAGCATGCAGAAGCCTGAGATGTCTGTTAATATCTGCACTGGGCAAGCAGAGGGCCTTTTAGAAAATGGCTGCTGCATGCTTTATGTTGTGTGTAAATTTGATAATTTTATGCCCATCAATCGCAAATGCGCGACTCACCTTGATCAGACCATTGTCCTTTCCATCATTCAAGTTTTTCCAGACGCATTCTTTCCAATTCTTAAACAGCATCGGGCTAAGTTCCCATTTTTGACCGGGAGGACCCTGGGCTCCAGTTTCTCCTTTAGCCCCTTCCTCTCCCTTTACACCGGCAGGTCCCTTATCACCAGGAGGTCCCTGAGGTCCAGTCTTCCCCTGCAATCCTTGATTACCTTTAGCTCCATCACGGCCATCACGTCCGTCACGTCCGTCGCGGCCTGGTGCCCCAGGAGTACCATGCTTGCCGTGCATGCCGGGAATGCCACAACCACCATAACAAAACGATGGAGATTGCTAGTTTCAAACAAGAAAATAGTAAAAATTATAAAAAAGATATCTTGTTATCCTTCGACTGATTGATCAAAAAACTGAAAGGCAGAAATGCCGGTGTGTGTACTTTTAGTAGAAACAGCTCGAGCTTTCCTTATATAAGAAAAATGCTTGTACAATGGGCTAATTTTTATCTGAAAATTTCAGTTTCCTAAGATCTCAGATTCAGAAAAGGCGGCATTTTTTCATTTTCATATGTTCGCTTCTCCTGACTTCTTCTTCTTCTTCCTCAGAGCTTTCCGCATGTTGCTCGAGATTTCCCCCAAAATGTCCCTTAATTTCTCAAAAAGTTGCCCAAAAGCTCCTCAAAGAAAGTCAAAAATTTTTTTTTTGTAGCGAAAGTTGCTCAAAAGTTGTTTAAAACAACTGTACCGTGGTTTGTGCGGACTGTTTATTGCCGCTAGTTGCCGTTGCAGAAGTCATGATGGCCAGTAGTAACATTAATAAACTTAGCATGATGATCAGTTCGACCAGTTCACTTGACCACATCTATCAAAAGCTCCTCAGCTGCCTGTGGAAAAGAGGATGATGCACTTTAGCCTGGTACTTTCAGCCACTACTCCCCCCCCGCCCCCACCCCACCCCACCTCCACAAACATCAGTTATTATTACTTAGTGTTCATTGCAATCACCCAGCAGTTTTGTGGTCCGAAAATATTAACTTAACTTGAACAAAACAAAGTTGAAATAATAAGATGGACTTTTAACCCTTGGTGAATAATTTTTCAAAAGGGATATTGCTGTGCACATGCGTAATACGAAGTACGGGGGAGTGTTAAAAAGAATTTTAAATCAGCTTAAGTACTTAGCACCTTATTTAAACACGCAATTCAAATTTCAGTTTTTAGGGAACAGAAACAGTGCACGTAATCTGGAGTCACTCAGTGTTTCGTAACAATAAATGCGCAAGTGTTCGTCGTAAAGCCTTGATTACTAAATTTGGCTACTTTGATTGTTATTACCACATGCAAGTAGTCTTCGCTACATACAATAGCAAGCATTTGCATTGCAGTAACACGCACAGACTGAAAGTAAAAATCTCTAGAAAATTGTAGATGTGAGCCTCTGTATGGGTATTTCCGACGAAATCGAAATCGCGACGATCACCATTGATGAAGAGACCATCTTAGAGATTAAAGCGACGATCGCATTGCCATTTCAATTAAGTTTGAAAACATTTGTTGTGCATGGAATGACGGCAACGAAACTTGCAAAAAGTGCGCTGCACGTTCAGATGTTTTTTTTCGCTTATTTTCTCGTTTCCCTCGTCGCAGTGGTTAAATGGAGTTCGTTAGCAGCGTTACATCGCGCGAAGCATGCAATTCTTAATATGCAACGATTTCGCCAGAAAAACCAACGATTTGATGGAAAACGCCCGACGAAACCCACGTCCGTGGGTACCCACACAGAAGCTCAGATCTGTGAATTATTTTTGCTCTTCCCCTGAACTTTCTTGAGTGAATGGCTAACCAATAAGCAATAGTTTCCTGATGTTAAACAAGGAAGCCATTAACTAAAAAGAAGTTTCCCCTTGGTTAAGATTAAGTAAATGTACCTTGGCAGTCTTGATCCTGTGTTCAGCGCACGTAGCTGTACACAAACTAAAGGCAGAAGTGAAACCTGTTTCCACAAGTGCAGTGTTGCCTTGTTCTTAAAAGGTATCACGCCACACCGTTTCTCCAATATGAATGGTCAGAATCCCATCAACAGAACAGATGACGTCTTTCCTTAAAGATCAACCCCTGTTGTCATGGTGATTCAAGTACTAACAAGAGAGGCTACGTGACTGTGTGGTTGTCTCTGCATATCCCGCCATTATCAAGATAGCGCTATCTGAGTTTACTCGATCCCTTAGATCAGCAAGAATTACTAGAATGCTAGAATTCAGCGTTTTCCTCCTCTCAATTAAAATGTAGTTATCCCAGGATAGCCGTTTATTTGCAAGAAAAAAACTTAATGTAAGAGGGTCTTGCAGTAAAATGACATATCTATAAAAGGACTGCTAATAAAAACACAAGGATGTGCCAGAGTAAACAGAGGCTGAATGAAATTAACCTTTGTAATAAAATATGGCAAACTAGGAAGCTGAATAAGCTGTCAATAAGTCAAAAAGCTTCTAAATCCCCAAAATGATTTTCCCTTTGCCTCCCATGGACTCAAATAGCTGAAAGCGTAGAGATGGGCCGTGCTCGACAGAAAATTAGAAATGAACCCTAAAATGTGAAGCACAATACCAATCTGGGCGTGGATCAAGGTTTTATTTTAAAACTCACAAAACCGTGAACGTCAGAAATATTACTGGAATGTTATTTTGTCCAAGAAATCCGCTTAGGTTTAAAGAATGAACTACTGACAAGGCTAAAACTTATATATTTAATAAAGAAAAACCTGAACGTATTCGACTCTACAGGGCATCATCAGGGTAAGAAAATACCGTCCACTACATATAATCGCACATGTCATATCCTCAGATAATTCTCGATGGGAAAAGTTTCGCAACGTAGGAGTTAATTTGTCTGTTCAAGCTAGGCTTTAATTACTCAGGTAGATTAAGGCCTGGGTCTAAATCATTTATGATTTTTATGTACAGTTTCTAAAAACTATGGTTAAAGACATCCACGAGGGACGATATATGGTAATGAAAACTAAACTTAAAAAACTTGAAAAAAGATATTTAAATTATTTGGTCGCGTGATCAACCACGCCCTCCATTGTTGGAAAATTGTAACCAACGATTCCCACCACTTGCCAAACGAGTGTAGCTCCAGTTTCTCTGTATCAAAACATTGTCCCTACAAAGTGTCTACGAAATCAGCTCAGAATGGTTCGAAGCATTACAATTGGCAGATGCAATTGGTGTTCACTGATTAGTGCCAGTCCTCCTCCAAAGACAATTATCGACAGAAGAAAGATATTTATTGACCTCGCCTCATTCCGATTTTTTTTACATGAAGACTATTGGTAGCCACTTTTGGACCTACTAAAGGAACACGGTTTACTCTCTTTCTTTGGGAATTTGGACTCAAAGGATTTCTCAATAAAACAGGGCGTGGCTGCTCACGTGATGTAGTTATAAATATTTTTAAAATGAAATTGGAACATTTCTAGGTTGTGATTGGCCTTAAATTGTTAGTCATGGGATATCTTGAAAATACCTTACGTTATACCACCCCCCTTTAAAACTTCTGAAAACTCTGTAATGACCCAGGCCTTAATCTACTTGAGTATGGAATCATTAGGTCTTCGTTTTAGGTTGTGTTCTTGAAGATTAGCTCTTAGAATACTCTTCACGGCGGCATAACGTTCTGCGTCAGATGCAAAGTTTCCGTTTACTTTTGCGAAGATGAGAGTGCAAAGGTTCCAAAGGCATTTCTGTACGAAACCGGTAGTTACGGCGGTTCGCTGAAATTTAGAAGCCGATCAGGCATAAAAAGACTTAACCGTAAACAGCAACTGTGATGTTTTTGTAAGGCACGGTTCAGGCGCCGAACTTTTCATGAGCCGAACCTAATACATTGAATTAAGTACAAGAAAAGTTCGGCGTCTGAATCAATTAGGAACGCCTGTTTCAATTTGAAACGGCTCAGCCGTTCTTTTCGCCCAGCCTGGCCGAGAATTTCGCCTTTGAAGCGACTTTGGAGCGTCTTTGATTCAGACACGGAGCTTTTCATGTACCGAACCTAATGCATAAATTACTATAACGTATTATGTAACAGTTTGACCGAAATGAGCATTTTTCACCTTTTAAACTTAGTTCAGCTGCAATTAAGACCGGCGTCTGATTTGAGAGAGATTTTTAGAGTTGGAATACATTGAATTAGGTACAAGACACGTTCGGCGTCTGAATCAATTAGGTCAATTAGGAACGCCTGTTTCAATTTGGAACGGCTCAGCCGTTTTTTTCGCCTAGCCTGGCCGAGAATTTCGCCTTTGAAGCCACTTTGGAACGGCTTTGATTTAGACACGGAGCTTTTCATGTACCGAACCTAATACATAAATTATTATAACGTATTTTGTAAGCAGTAAGATCGAAATGAGCATTTTTCACCTTTTGAACTTAGTTCAGCTGCAATTAAGATCGGCGTCTGAATCAGTACAGCTGGTCTAAACTGATTTGGTTCGGCCTTAATTCGAATTAGTTTCGGCTCATGAACTCATGAGCTAATTTTTTGGTTTGCTCGTTTAGGTAGAGTAGCTAAATGTCGATAAGCGCACTGCCACTCTAAAGAAAGATTTGAGGATACCAATCTACATACCTAACGAGACAACAACATCCTCTCCCATTGATTTTCAACCACCATATAGCGTTTCGATGATAAATAGATTGTGGTAAAAAAAAAACTAGAATCCTAAGATAAGGGAGAACACCATCATGAAGAAATAGTATTACTCCACGACGGGTGTCGTATTTCGGACAGGGAGCAGCCCCCGAAAATCTGTAGGGGAGGGAAATGCGGTAGAACTACGTCACATGTATCAAGTCATTACTTATTATACTGTTGTATTTTCAGTATAACACTCTGAGTGTACAGAAGAATTCTCCAACCCCTCGAACAAATGATTCCTTGAACCTGGAGAGTTCCCTTCCCTTTTAAATCTGTAATTTTACCCATATGTTTCCAAGCTCTTGATAATCAGAACGAATCGCAGTTTTTCCTAAAATTAAAAGATTTGAGAGTTGGAATGCTAATGGCGTTCAAAACTCAAGAGAGGCTATTAATCAAGGCACAGCTCAAAAGATGAATAAATGGGAAAAGTTACTCCTTCTAAAATCCAGACCCAACTGCGACGCAAACTGTGTCCTATCTCAGAACGAAAGAGCCCAAAAAACATATCTCTGATGCCAAGGCACACGCCTGATTAACTTTTCAAATAAAACAGAATATAATTTTCTGACTTTTGTAATTGCTGGTTGGTTTACTTTAGAAACCAAGAATGTATTAACTTAGATTTTGAGAAGTTATTTACAAGAAAGAAATAAAAATGAGAAAATAACACTGCTCTTTGTGGAAACATTGGCTTGTTTCTATGAAACAGATGCAAATATTTTCCCTATTAGTCAGTGCAGTATCTTCTACGAAGATAATCCCCTACCACCCCTCCCCCCCCCCCC